CTTCGGGATCTACATCACTGTTGTTGCACTTTGTTGCTTCTGACTCCACACATTTTTCTTTTAGTAGTGCCTCAGTTGTTTTATTCGCCCAATGTAATATATAACCAGAAACATCCAAGTCGTCACTAATTGTTAAGCTTTCTTCAGCTGTCAGTATGGTTGTTTGCATCCCAGGTGTTGTTTCATCTTGTTGATATTCATGAGTAAACATGTTGCAGTTTGTTTCCTCATGTACATCAGCAAATGTGATGCATAGAGGAAATTTTGTCACATCTGTCTCTTGCTTCTCTAGATGTAAATAAAATAGCTGAATTATCTTGTATCATCAATGGTGGATAATTCTCTCTGATTTTGTATTGAATTATCAATGGATTTGATGGCGTTTGTACTCCAATTCCATCAACTAGCTTTGCAATTAAGTCAGAAAAGGAACTGTGTGTATCTAAAGTAATTCCAAACACATTGAAGTTATCATATTCCAGTGCTTCATTCCAATGACCACCATGATGAACAAAAATAGGCAATGTTTCCATGTTACCTGTTATTAACAACACACACACATTGTTCTAGCTTATTCAAGTATGAATAACTGTTCACAGTAGTATTTTATTCACAAACAAAAACAGGTTCCATTCATTAATAATTTTATTTTGTAAATCTTAGCAATTACAATTCAAACGGAGTTTATTATTCTATAGCAGCCAAAAATCAAAAGGAAACTAAAATTCAATTCATATATTCAAACATATTGAAATTAGTTCAGGAATGGTAGAGATTGTAGTAATCATACTTTTGTGTTGCGGGAGAATTGTGAATCGCTGATGAATACTTGAGTTTCTCTTTGTTTAGATCATAGATTTGTTTGTGTGAAACAATTGTGGTGTGCGATCGAATTCTCCGTGCGGCATCAATGATCAGCTGTAGAATCCTCGAAACGGAGGTCGTGCAGGGGGAGTCTGGTAATGAAGCTCTGGTATATTCTGCGCAAGTGTTACGATCGATTGGAAGCTCTGAGTTTCTATTTTCGTTAAACGCTTGCCGTTTATATATGAGGTTATTTTTTAAAATAAAATCTTTAGTGTCTTGATTTTGAAAACCAAATCTAAAATTGAAAAAGCTAATATTATTTCCCTTGTTGAGCTTATATGTGAAAATTTCCCTTTTACCTTTGTCTATTGTAATCCTATTTTGAGCGATTTTCATTTAAAAACAGGTTTTAAATCTTATATTGGAATAACATGTGATCGACAGTTCTCTAATTTAATTATTTCACATCTGAGCACATTAAGAGCCCGTTTGGTAGTCCGGTTTTTCATCTTATCAAGCTTATCAGTCAACTTTTTCTCCAAACAAGTAACTTTTGATTTCACGTGTTGTATTGTGAAAAAATAAGAAAAAATAAGGTGTTGGATTACTTTTCTAGTTATATTGGCTGAAATTATTTAGAGGATCAATCTAGCTAATTTTTCATATAATTTTTTATTTATTTTATTAATAAAAAAAATTTAATATAATTTTTTATATATCAGCAAAATCAACTAATCTAGCCAATTTAGCCAGAACTTCATAAATTTCAGCACAATCAACATATTTAGCTAATTTCAGTGTCATCAAACGTGGTGAAATTCATTCTGGCTAATCAATTTAATTAGTGCCCAAGTAGAGAACGCTTGTCTCTTTATGCGGTCGGAATAGAAAATCAAGTAGAAAGTGGAAAGGAGATAAGGGGACACTGGAAAGTGGAGATACACATCACACGTCTTTCTGACTTTCGGTTCATATATATTTTCTTTAAACTGAAAAACCAAAGACATTAAATTAACTATTTAAGGCATGGCGGAACAAAGCTTGTTTTTTGGGTTTTGGGTTCCATTAGGTTTGACATAGAAGGAATCAATGTCATACGGAGTACTTTGGTTCCACTTTGTTTAGTCATAATTGTTAAGAAAACTCCCCAAAAGAATTAAAAATGCTTGATAATTCCAAACCATGAGTGATCTTTTTCCAATAGTACCTTAGTGTTATTCTAAAATTTTCATGTAATACTTTCGGATATTGATAAAGACTCACACCGGTAAATTGAGAAGCATTAGAGTGCTATATTAAGCTTCAGGTTACTCCTCCTAACATGTTGATCTTTTAGGATGGAACCCCGAGTCTTAACATGGTATCAGAGCCAAATCGATCCATGGTGTGGGGCCCCTATTAAAAATGACGACACGATTATAAAAAAATGAAAATGACGAACCGACGAAAAAAAAGTGAATGACGGCATGATCCAGACAAAATGTCTGGTCGTGAGGAGGGGTGAATGGGTGATAAAGTCCCACACCGGTAAATTGAGAAGCATTAGAGTGCTATATTAAGCTTCGGGTTACTCCTCCTAACAGGTTGATCTTTTAGGATGGAACCCCGGATCTTAACACAATATGGCAGTATGTTGTCATAAGTAGTACTCTTGTATTTCTCAAGTTTGACAATAGTTACTCTTGTTTATAAAATAAAAATATAGTCTACTTATTTTGAAATTCTCAAAAAAAAAATTACTCATATTTACGATGGAGTACAAACCTACAAATAAACATTTTCTCAACACTGATTTTTCCATCTAATTAAGTCTATAGCAATTAATTTCATCTTATAGTTTTATGTAATTTAGTCTTATACGTAGTACTCCGTATATAATTTCATAGTAATTTTTTTACTTTTTCAAAGTTAACTAAGTTATTCTCTTGTTTAATTTATTTTCTTCTTCGAAAGGTTGAATCTCCAATCCAAAGGGTCGTCACACCCCGATCCGACAGGGCATTCGAATGATTGTAAGTCACGTTAACTCAGTCAGTCTAATAATGGTAGACCTTGTACCCGTACGCACAAGAGACCAAACCCAACACGTAGGAGCCGTAACCTAGCCTAACACGTAAGAGCGGTAACCACCACACGACTATTGCATTGCGGGTCTCGAGGAAAAAGAAGAAAATACTAATGACCGAATGTTAATTGGGACAGGGAGAAAGTCATATGACAGACTCGTGAGCCGTGGCCAACAACCCCTAACAGTGAGTCGTGGCTCTTTTGGCCCCCATCATGTGCTCTATCTACACAATGGTACTTCACACCACGTGCTTTTTCCACCCTGTTATATAGTTAGGGTTTTAGAAGAATCTTTTTGTCTATTCAGTGGATGGGAGAGGAAGTAGTTCCCACGATCATTTTTAATCTATTTTATTCATTCCTCCAATTGGAAGTGCTTTAATTTGATTTGATATCTTTATACAGATTATCGAGTATAGAATATATTACTCCGTACTACGTATATCATTATAAATCTATAATACTTCGTATTGGACATGCCTAGCAGAATGTCACGGAATAGTTTCAAATTTATCTTCACATAACCCTACACTCACATACTTATCAGTGTGAGTGAGCCCTTAGCTTCCTTCTTTTGGATTAAGATTTACAAACTTAAAAAAGGTAGTTTGAAGATTTAAATCAAATAAGAATCATGTTTAGAATGGTGAGAACAACACTTTTAACTCAATGTGATACGTAGTACACTGTAATATTTCTATCTTACTATTTGTCGTGTTGACGAAATATGTAGCAAACTACCACCATATTTATGTGATACTTTCATGTTTTGAGCAAAGCCTAAAATGTACACTATATGATCCACATAGTGTATCAAATTGAGTTAAAAGTGATATTGTCACGGTTATAACGATAAACATGATTCTCGTTAGAAGCACCCCTCTTAACTTCAATCTATTACTAGTACATGCATATACATAATTGTTCAAAAAAAAAATCAAATACAAATTTAATGAATCTAAATATGCCAATATCAGAGACACGGAGTTTATGTATATTCTAGGTACATCAACTCTTACTCTGGCCATCACATGATGGACTTGGTCAAAGAAACAACCACATAAGTATTTGTTATGAAAACTTAAAAGCTTAACTCGATCGATGAGGGTAGGAGCTTATGGATATATGGTCTCATATACTCATTTCACGTTTCCTACTTAGTATATTATTGGTGTGATATAAACACTGCACTACACTCCCTTACCCTGGACCTAATAGGACAACTTGAAAGTTAATAGGACAAATAGACCCTAAATGAGTAACCTGAATTAATAGATGGTAAACAAACATTACATTGAATGGTCTATGTTAGCCTACATCATTAATTTATTAATTTTTCATGTACATAATTTTTTATGTAACATCTTGTGTACGTATTTTGTCTTAGTATTAGACTAGGAAAGTCTTTAGCATTTATAACTTGAGATTTTCTTTCCTAAAACCACGCATGGCTTGTACGTAGTTTGTATAGCACTCGGCATTACCGAGTTGTATATATTTAGCCATACACGTTTGTAATCTTAGAGAAATACAGAAAATATTTCCCATATATTCTATCTTTCTTCATGGTATCAGAGCAGTGAATCGGGATCGACCGGTCACGCTCGCGTAACGCCGATATGGCTGGAGAAACGAACTCAGGCGGAGGAGATGGCCACCGAGAATACTTGGAACGAAGGAAAATTAACGATCCTTCGTCTCCTTATTTTCTGTCAAGCTCGGATCACCCGGGCATGATGATATGTGCGGTCTCTCTCAAAGGAGAGAATAATTATCGGGAATGGAGTACGGCCATGAAAAACGCATTTCGGGCTAAACGGAAGATGGGTTTTCTTGACGGAACAATCGTGCGACCCCTAACTGCACCGAAGGATCTTGAAGACTGGCTAACCGTTAACTCCATGGCGGTTGGATGGATTATGACCTCTGTGGATCCGGCCTTGAGAACCAATCTCGCCTACATGGAGAGTGTGCATGCTCTTTGGACTGATCTGGAGGCGCGGTTCTCGGTAGCGGACGCTATGAGAACACATGAACTCAAAGAACTCATTCGAGATTGTAAACAACATGGTCAAACGATTACTTCGTACTTCGGGCAACTGAAATCTCTGTGGGAAGAGTATGATGGAGTACGAAATTATCCCCAATGCAAGTGCAATGGATGCACGTGTGATCTCAATAAGCTGTTCCTTAAGCACATGGAATCTGAAAAAATTCATGACTTTCTAATGGGACTTGATCGAGAGACATATGGGACTTTAAGATCTAACATACTGGGGACGGATGACGACCTGCCTTCACTGACTAAAGTGTATCAATTGGTGATACAAGAAGAGCGGCATCAGAATTTGACGCGAGGAAAAGAAGAAAAAACGGAGGCAGTAGCTTTTGCTGCGCGAGTCGGACCTACTGCCGGAAAAGAGGAACGCGTGAAGTGTACTTTCTGCCACAAATCGGGACATGAAATCGAGAACTGCTTCCGTCGGACTGGAGTATACCCAGATTGGTGGCAAGACAACCCAGGGCGTTCTGCAACGAGCCGAGGAGGAAGGGGACGTTCTGGACCAGGCCGTGGAGGTACCGGACGTGGAGGTACGGGAAGGGGTGCTGGACGTGGTGGCGCGCAAGCCATGCACGTTGGAGGACATCACCCGGAGAATGGCATGCAGCAGGGAGGAAAAGAGATAACTACTCTACATAAACCGAGCTTTACCGATGAGCAATGGCAGATGCTTATCAAGTTAATGGAGAACTGCAAGGCTTCTAGTTCGGAGGAAAAGCTCTCAGGTACACAGATTACTAACGGATGGCTTCTCGATTCGGGTGCCTCGTATCACATGACCGGTGATACCAATGCTCTTACGGAGATTGTCAGAATACCGTCGGTGGCAGTAACTTTGCCGAACGGTGATATTACCAAGGCAACACATGTGGGAAGCGTTGTGATCAGTAGAAGCATTAAATTGATTAACGTCTTATTGGTTCCCGGATTAAAATGCAATTTGATTTCTTTGGGACAATTGATTAATGATCGAAAATGTGACATATTTTTTTCTAATGATTTATGTGTAATACAGGACCTACTTACGAGGATGCCGATTGGAGTGGGTGAACGGCGAGGTGGAGTTTATTATTTCCGAGGTTTGGAACAAGCACAAGCACTTGCTGTGGGAGGTTCGGATTCGGGAACTTTGTGGCATTCAAGGTTGGGACATCCATCGATACAAGTTTTACGTTCACTTGGTTACTTGAATAAAACTTTGTTGAATTCTGTTCAAAATAAAACGTGTGATGCTTGTATGAGAGGCAAACAAACGCGTGATAGTTTTGTTACTAGTAGTGCTAGAGCAATTGAACCATTTGAATTGATACATTGTGATATTTGGGGTCCGTATCGTGTTATGTCATCTTGTGGTGCTCATTATTTCTTGACTGTGGTAGATGATTTTTCTAGAGCTGTGTGGGTACATCTGATGAAAGACAAGGGTGAAGTTAAAATTATCCTTAAACAATTTTTTGCCATGGTGAATAGACAATTTGATAGAAATGTGAAGATAGTGAGAAGTGACAATGGCAAAGAATTTTTGGGTCTCCAAGAATATTTTCTGAATAATGGGATAATATTTCAAACGTCTTGTGTGTACACCCCTCAACAGAATGGAAGAGTAGAACGGAAGCATAGGCATATTTTGGAGATGGCTAGGACATTGCGCTTTCATGCGAATTTACCTATTCATTTTTGGGGGGAGTGTGTGTTAACCGCGGGATATTTAATTAATCGCTTGCCTACTCCTATGTTAGATAATAAAAGTCCCTATGAGTTGCTATATAACAAAATACCGTTGTATAATCAACTACGGGTCTTTGGTTGCCTTTGCTATGCCCATGCATCAAAAACTGGCGGTGATAAATTTGCCCCTAGGGGCATAAAATGTGTGTTTTTGGGATATGCATATTCCCAAAAGGGTTGGAAGGTTTATGATCTACAGAATAAACGTCACTTTATTTCTCGTGATGTCAAATTCGTTGAGAACGAATTTCCTTTCCAAGTTGAGGAGTCTGCTGTGAGGAATAAGGAGGATGGCATGGAAAATCTCCTTGCATGGGAATCCCACGAAAATGGGGATGAAGAGGTTGACGTGGGTGACATGTGTGAAGGAACTAAAGCTCATGATGGGGAGACCGACGTACTTCCACACCAGGGAGCAAATTCTCAAGCATCTTTGACTGATATGGGTGATGGGCTGGATGCGAATAATGTAGATGCTCGCACAAGTGTAAACACTTCCGGGCAGACCCGCAGAAGTACTCGTCCGCGTACAGCTCCTGCATGGCATAAGGATTATGCTGTACAAATGCACACGGTTAAAATAAACTCTCACCCCGTCGTCAAGCCTACTCCTGCGGCCGAATCAGGTACTCCTTATTCACTATCTCATTATATCAAATATGACCATTTTTCGGTTCCGCACCGAGCCTTTCTTGCAGCTATCAGCATGACCAAGGAACCCGCTAGCTATGGAGAGGCAGTTCGAGACCCATGTTGGCGGGAAGCTATGAGCCGAGAAATACGAGCCCTTGAGAATGCCGGGACTTGGAAGGTTCAAGATTTGCCCCCCGGCAAGAGAGCTATTTATTGTAAATGGGTGTTCAAAATCAAATACAGAAGTGACGGATCGGTGGAGCGTTATAAGGCTCGGCTCGTTGTTTGTGGAAATCGCCAAGTTCAGGGCATCGATTACAGTGACACCTTTGCTCCGGTTGCTAAAATGGTAACGGTACGTACCATTTTAGCGGTAGCTGCCTCTTGTCACTGGGAGCTACATCAGATGGATGTAGATAACGCCTTTCTTCATGGAGATCTTCACGAAGAGGTCTATATGCATCTTCCCCAAGGATACTCTGCATCGTCTCCTGGAAAGGTGTGTCGCTTACTCCGTTCTCTCTATGGGCTGCGCCAGGCACCACGATGCTGGTTTTCTAAATTAACTACCTCCTTGCGCGATTATGGCTTTACACAATCACACGCAGATTATTCCTTGTTTACCATGCGCAGAGATAGTGGAATTCTTTGTGTGCTCATATATGTTGATGACTTGCTAATCACCGGCAACAGTCGTGACATGATAGATGCGTTTAAAACATATTTGGCTGCTACATTTCCTGTCAAGGATCTGGGTGTTATGAAATATTTTCTTGGGATTGAAGTTGCAAGGAATCCCACTGGTATTTTTCTATGTCAACGAAAGTACGTCCTTGATATTTTGTCAGAAACCGGGATGTCTGGTTGCAAGCCAGTTGCATTTCCAATGGTACAAAATCATCATTTGCAATCTGATGCGGGTCCTTATTTTTCTGATCCTGAACGCTATCGCAGGCTGGTTGGGAAACTTATTTATTTGACTTTAACCAGACCTGATATTAGCTATTCCGTACATATTCTTTCACAATTTATGCAAAATCCCCGACTGGCCCATTGGGAGGCCGTGCATCGTGTACTCAGATATATCAAAGGACGACCAGGACAAGGTATATTGCTCCGCTCCGACTCCTCTCTATCTCTCACTGGCTACTGCGATGCTGACTGGGCAAGTTGTCCAGTCACTCGTCGCTCGGTTACTGGATATTTTGTATCTCTCGGCTTCTCTCCAATTTCATGGCGCACCAAGAAGCAAGTTACTGTCTCACGCTCCTCTGCCGAAGCCGAATATAGGTCCATGGCATCCTTAACTTGTGAACTTATTTGGCTCCGAAACCTTCTTCGTTCCTTGGGGGTGACCCACCCTGGACCGGTTCGCCTCTATTGTGACAATCAAGCCGCACTGCATATTGCATCCAATCCAGTCTATCATGAACGCACCAAACACATCGAGCTTGATTGTCATTTCATCCGTGATCACATACAAGCTGGAACCATTGCTCCGAACTACACACCTACCACCGAGCAACCAGCGGACCTCTTCACTAAAGCCCTTGGTGCTCACCAATTTTCTTATTTACTCGGCAAGATGGGCATTTGTGACCCCCATGCTCCATCTTGAGGGGGGGTGTTAGCCTACATCATTAATTTATTAATTTTTCATGTACATAATTTTTTATGTAACATCTTGTGTACGTATTTTGTCTTAGTATTAGACTAGGAAAGTCTTTAGCATTTATAACTTGAGATTTTCTTTCCTAAAACCACGCATGGCTTGTACGTAGTTTGTATAGCACTCGGCATTACCGAGTTGTATATATTTAGCCATACACGTTTGTAATCTTAGAGAAATACAGAAAATATTTCCCATATATTCTATCTTTCTTCAGTCTATGATCTGAATTATATATTGGTCCAGTATATTTTTATATCTTGCATGCTAGTAGTAAACATACCTAGATCAACTACCATTTTGTGCAAGATCGAGTGATTCATAGGAACCTTATATATAGTGAGCTATACTCCACTCAATTGTATTCGGCAGATATCTATATTATACACTTCTATTTTGCACTATTAACCTTGAATATAGGAGTTTTATTACTTCTAATATGCAATGATAGAACTATACTCTTTTTGTTTCCAAAATAAGAGTAACATATAATCTATCTTCATATTCTATCATCTTCCTATCATTCTTAATAAGACTTATTCTATTAATAATCGAATAAATGGAATAATAGTGAAATCTTGTGGAAGCGTGATTTATAGGGTTTGATAATTACAGGATGTGTGATTTATATTTTATAAAAGTGAAATCTTATTTTACAAATCTTGTCGTGACACACTCACAAAATGGGGTTAACAATGGGCTATCCCTCTCTCACTTTAATTAAATGGCATTTAACAATGGCCCGACCCGGAACCGGCTCGAACCGGTACTGTTCGGAACCGGCCCGAACCGGTGGCCCAGCCAGGGACCGGTCCGGGTAGGCCCGTCCCGGTGGTTTTACGGTTCGGGCTCGGGTCACCCAATAGACGAACCGGCCGGGCCGGGCCCGGTTCCGGGCCTTTTTTCTTCTTTTTTTGTTTTTTCAATTTTTTTATTTTTCTGGGTTGGGCTGGGTGTTTTGGGCCATTTGGGGTGGTTTGGGGGGTGGGGGGTGGGGGTGAGGGGGGGTCGGGGATCAATTAGAAAAGTAAAATAAAAAAAAATAGGATTTGGCCCGAGGCCCCCGGACCCGCCTGCCACCCGGGCCGGTTCCGGTTGACCCGTTGTCAAATAAAAGCCCGGCCGGGCCCAGGCCCGAACCGGAACCGGCCCGGCCCGAGTCCACCACTAAACTTGTGTCGTGTATGAAGAACTTATTACTTCGTATTTGAAATAATCTTAGCTTCAATTTGCAGGTAGTATTAGTCTATCAACTTCTCTCTTCAACGTTTCACATTTATTAGAAACAATGTGTACGTAATATATTATTCATGGACAAATTAAGCGGTGTAATAATGTAATCTTTATATATGTACTCTTTGTGTGTTTACAACACTTTACATATCCCCTATAGGGGATAGTCTAGACTTCTGTTAAGATTCGGAATTTCATCAAAAGATGAACCTGTCAGGAGTATGTAGCCCAGAAATTAATATAGCATTGTGTTGATACAAACTTTTCTGGTGTGAGACTTTATCAACTTCTTATTTATGTTAGACTCTTATTCAATTATTCCTCATAATTTTTTACTTCTCCAATTATCATTTTAGGTCAATGTGATTTAAGAATTTAGGTTGAAGTATGGAATTTAGCAAGTTGCGGCAATGAAAGGGTAGTGCAACCAATTAAAGATATGAATGAAGTGCGGTTATGTTAGTTGCTGCCAACGTTCGTACTTACGGCCAGCTTATTGTCTCGTACCTTATGTCTTCTCTTCATCATCTCATCATTGCATGTTGTAATGCATCCCCCGCCCATTAATCAACTACGTACGGCCGGACTCGAATGTGGTCGGCTGTACGGAGCGCAAATGATACACTCTTCCTAACCAATTTCCCTCTACACTCACATTTGGCTTGGACCCATCCTTACATGGAGCCAACTCAGCCATGTACGGCCAAAGTAATTTGAATACTCCCTTTGTCCCGCAAAGATGTTCACCGTTTGACATACACATATATTAAGGAAATAAACTTATCAGGAGAAATTTATTGTTTTGACATTGTTTGACACTGTTTAACACTGTTTCACATTGTTTTGATGTAGATAACTTGTCATTTAAGGAAAAAGGAACTTCTTTTTGGGACATCCAAATAAGGAAAGTGTGAACTTCTTTGCGGGACGGGGGGAGTATATAATACTCCGTACACTTCAAATTATTTTGACCAAATTGCCACTTGAAGATTTTTATATTTGAATGCATATTTTGTATATATTTAAAAATATAAAAATGGATACGATCAATATAGAAATAAAAAACATTTCTGATGCTTTCATAGCTTAATAGGATCAATATTACACAATGTTTGTCAAGTTTGAAATAGTTTAGAATCTAAACAGTACCAAGTAGCTTTTCTTTTAATCAGAACATTATAAGTTTTAAGATTAGACGTTGAATCAGTCAAGTGATACAAAACAACCGCACTCACTAGACACGAAACAAATAATTTTATATCACAAAGTGAAACTTGAAATTGCACAGAAGTCTAGTCACTTTCAAACAAGGATTGTGCTCGGTGTACACAAACTGTGTACACTTTTTGTACACTGCCTGTGTACACAATCAATTGGGATACAAATAATGTCTATTTCTTTATAAGTTAACTGTGTACAGGCAACTAGACCGAGAGTGTATACTAAAAGTGTACAAATTGTGTGTACCAATAGTATTTTCCTTCAAAGAATCAAAAGTGGGGCGCTTCCCTTTGAACCGTTCATTCATTAATTGTACGGATGTTTTGTTAAACAAATACGCAGCACGGTGTATAATGCGGAGTATGTACGAATTGAAGTACATTAGTACATAATACTACGTAATACATATATGTGTGGGGTATAGGTTGTTAAAAGGTTTGTCTAATGATCTTTAGGTTGATTAGTTGGTACTAAATTACTAATATTTGATCGCATACTCATAGGCAGGGGCAGAGCCATGACACTGGGCCGATACAAAGAATACTTTTAGAAAAAAAAAAATTACAGAGAATTTTTTACCTTAAAAAATAACTCATTTTTAAAATTTGGGGTGAGTCATGGCCTAGGTTGGCTCACTCCTAGCTCCACCCATTCTCATAGGGTGGAGCTAGAAATATATTGCGAGGTGCATGTTGAGATTTGAAAGTTTTACTTTGGGAGGTCAAAATTTAAAATATCAAACATATGCATTTTAAATTTAAAAATATATAGAGCCCATTTGGTAGCACGAAAATCGGTGATTTGGCTGAATCTGCTGAAATTTATTAAATTCTTGTTGAAGTGGCTGCATTGGCTGATTCTGTTGATTTAAGAGAAAATTATTTTTAAAATATATTTTATTAATAAAATAAAGAAAAAATTATATGCAAAAATAACTAAAATGGTCATCTACAGTAACTTCAGCCAATACAGCCAGAAAAGTAACATCAACCTTACTTTTTCT